CAACACGACAAACGCTGCCTCGATATCCTCCCTCCCGCAGGAGTGCCTCCTCATCATTGATACATCGTACTCGGACACGACCATACTCCCCCTCTACAACGGAAAGCTCATACAATCGGCTGTGCGGCGTCTCACCGTTGGAGGGAAGCTCCTCACCAATTACCTGAAAGAATTGTCCTCCCTGCGACACTACAACATGATGGAGGAAACATACTTGCTTAATGAGATCAAAGAAGCTGTCTCCTACGTCGCGCCCTCGTCACAGCAGTATGCGAAAGACCTCGAGCGGACGTGGAAGGGGCGGTTAGGCGACAGGAGGGAACTAGACACGAGCATTGTCATGGACTACGTACTGCCAGATTACGAGAAGTCAATACACGGCTATGCGCGGCCTCACGATGCTGCAAAGTCACGAATGCGGCGTGGGTTGCAGCCGATGCAGGGCCCGCGGGAGGACCTGTTACCACTCGGCAACGAGCGCTTCGCAGTACCAGAGCTACTCTTTAATCCGTCAGACATTGGCATCCAAGAAGTTGGACTCCCTGGTGCTATCGTGGACTCTTTGAGCGTGCTGCCTGAAGCATTGAAGGTCGGCATGTTGGCGAATGTGGTGATTGTGGGTGGGAATGCACTGATCAGCGGATTTACAGCGAGACTGGAGGCGGAGTTGAGGGCACTGGTGCCGGCTGAGTATATGCTGAAGGTATCGAGAGCAGAAGACGCCATCAAGCATACATGGCTCGGGGGAGCGCGGTTTGCTAGCCAGCCAGAGCTCCTGAAGCAGGTGCTGGTGGACAAGGCCGAGTATGACGAGCGGGGCTCGACATGGCTGGTGAAGAAATTCGCATAGATAGAGGTGCAAAGCTTAATACTGAAGACACGTGCAAGAATAGTCCCACTTGTTCCTCTTCAGGGTGGTGGTAGCATGATAGTTGCGGCTCGGAGGCTGCTCCATGGTGATTGGTCAATCGGCGGCGGCTTGGCGCGTGGTTGATTTGCATGTCGACGAGATTTGAGACTGTGGACAGTCCAGGCCGCCTGCGTTTCCAGCACATCTCTCAACTCAATGCGCCAAATAGCGCGCCCCTCGCGGGCACTGGGCCCTTCACACTCGCTCTGTTCGTCATTACAGCCGCGAGCCTTGCCATGGACCTGCCGCCATGCCCGCCATCCCTCGCTCGCTTTCTCGACGACTGCGCCGCGCACCTTCCTGCTGTCGGGCAAGCAAGACAAGAAGAAACACCAGCAGTTCGTACGCAGATGGCAGAAGCGGCTACTGGGCGACTCGGAGCCCATTGGCGCACACGTTGACCCGTACGATCCCACGTCGCCCGTCCGGATAGCGCCCGAGGAGCAGGGCGAGTACGAGGAGGTGCTCGCCGAGGACGGACGGGACGATGCCGAATTCCCCTTGTACACGCCTGCCGAGAGCGACAGAGGGCTCTTACATGTCGGCAACGAGCCGTGGCTCAGGCAGAAGCTCGAGGGCGACATGGCCAAGGAGTTCGAGAAGCTCACGCTGCGCACATACACACCCTTGACCCTGGACATGGCGAACGAAGTCGAGGAGCTGACGGGCACGCCGTATACCCTCAAAGACGAGAACCTGATGATGGCCCAGACGGTGCACAATGTGACGGGGCGGCCATACACGGCGTTGAACTTCGGTCTACATAAGAAAACCACGTCGCCCTACGAGCTACGCAGCCGCTTCGCCCAGGCCGTCGCCGAAGTATATGCGCTCAAGGAAGCTGGTCTCAGCATGGACTTGTCCAAGTTCCCCAACCGAGGCATCTACGATGCGCCACAGTGGATCGGAGATATCAAGTTGTCTAAGACGGAGGGCGGAGAACTAACCCTTGCTTACCCAGCAGACGCGAGCGCCGAGCGATTCCTTCAAGTGATGCAGGCAGCGCCAGAATGGGAGCCAACGTTGGGAGAGGAGGGAGAGGAGCTTCTCACTGACGAACCTGCACCAGATGCACTTCTGCCGCAGGAGCAGCCACCCGTCATGGATCCGGATACACCTGCGTTCAAGAGAGCGGCTGTCGTCAAAACGGATCCAGATAAGAAGCCGTTCGACTTCATGTCAAACCGCCCCGTGCCGCGAACAAAGCCTGCACAAGAAGTGGAAGCGGAGGAAGTCATTGTGACACAGGAGCGAGCACTCTCAGAAGAGATTCCCACACCCTCGCGGGTGGCGGAGATCACGTCTGCACCTGCTGAATCTGAACTGCCCAGCTCTACACTTGAAACTAAGGCACAGCCCTCCGCAGATGATCGCTTAACTTCAAGAGAAGACCTGAAACACGGTCAAGTAGAGTCATCTACTCCAAGGGCTGATGAGGCGAAATGGCGGCAAGTACCCATTGCTGATGTCGCTGTCAAATTTGCCGTAAGTATCTCAACGTACACACTCAAACCTCAAGATATTGATATATGCTAGCTGTCCAAACGTCTGCTCCAGCTTACTGGCCTCCACATATCCGACCCACACCTCACATCCGCCGTCACCCTCGGTGATCTATACGGCTACCTCTGCGCCACCGCCAGACCCCAGCCCACAAGCCTTTACTCTGCCATCCACATCGAAGGCCAGCGAGCACGCGAGCGCGCGAAGCAACAACAGTCCGCACCCGAAGTACCTTCCAGGAGAAGAGCCGACCTGGGCGATCTCATCAACCTCGGCAACGTGGAATTGCGCCGCGTCAAGCCTACCAAGACGGAGCAACGGACCAAGACTGGTCTCGACAAAGTGGTGCAGTATGCGCTCTGGGAGCGAGGGCTCCTTGATGATGGCAATACACCAAAAACGGCGGCTAGTTATACTAAGAGCAAGTCGCGGGTAGTGGAGGGAACGCGGCAAGCGCCTGAGTTCGGAAAGCCGATGAGTAGCAAGGGAGCAAATTTCTTGGCTAAGAGGACGAAGGAATGGAGGGAGGAGCAGGAGAGACAGGCGAGAGCTTCCCTTGTACAGTAATAAGTTAGTCAGTGTTCAAGGTGTGCCTTGGTTTGGCTTTGTTGCATTACAGGAATCGCCAGCAGCGAGTTGAAGGAGGGGTTTATTGTACATTATATGGGGATCTACCCTTCAGCATGTAGGCTATTCGTTCCAGGTTTGGAGAGGCCTGCGTGCGTAAGAGAAGAACCGTACTGAACAAGTTATGCTACTGTGTTAACTGGTGTAATTATATACAGAGACTCGTTATTGTCCATTCTCGACTGCTTTCCGCTGACTCTTCTGCTTGCCCTTACCCGTATTCGAATCCTTCATGTTCGAATTCTGCATAAAGCACCAGCACCGGCACCTCACCTTTGGCAATTATACCTATACAGCAAGCAGATGTAATGATTACAGCTTTGGTGAGTGAAGTGATATAGAGGCGCAAGGCACATGAACATTGTCAACGCGTTATTTTCAGTGAGCAATGCTACCATAACGCCGTGCTATGCTGCTGTATAGAGCCCTTCTGATGAACGCCGGTGGCCAGCCAAAACTTGTCTAATCCTTTCGCGCGCCCAAGCCATGACCAGGCATTGGCAAGTTTCCTGGGAACGTAGATAGTAAGCAACGAGGCCGGCCAAGTTGGCGTACAAATTGAAGGCCAAGTCTTGCTCCCAACTATTGCTTGGGCCTCGTACCTGCTATGTCTTCCATGGCGTCCTTTACAAGGAAGCTAAGGTAACCATTGTCAGCGTGTGACCATGCCGGTATGTGATCTTTACCTATGGATGGGACTTACTTATACCACAACACCGTCGGCAGCACGGTGCCCAAATGCCACAAGCTATGCGCATCCAGCATGCCCCCCCACGGCGGGAAATCCAGCAACTCCAAGCTCATCGCCACGACAATCCACGCCACACAAAGACCCGGCCAGACCGCCCACGTCCGCCCTATCCGTCGGTACTGCACGTAGCTGAAGCCGCTCCACAGCAGGTTCGCTACCACCCCGACCGCCACGTTCGCCGCCATGTTGTACGTGTAGTCCCAGGACCACAGCGAGAGATACGCCACGTGCATGGAGTACAGCAGCACACACAGGACCGTCCACAACCGTAACACAGACTGCTTCCTGCCTCGCTCGTCGCTCCTGTCCAGCCTGAACACCCGTATCGGCGCGTAATACAGCCCATACAACACATTCGCGCCCGCGGCGAAATAGTCCAGCTTCTCCGTCAGATTGGAATCCCGCGTGTGAAATATCATGCTAAACGTCCAGCTCGCAAGCCCCACGTAGCCGAACAGGAGGTAGTATTTTCGCAGCGCGTATGTGGCGGGGATCTTGTCGCGCAGCTGCCGCATGCCCCAGTCGTGCGCGAGGTAGTTGAACAGCGAGAAGATGACGCTGAAGGGCTCCTGCATGCCCGCGAAGCGGTAGAAGGGCCATTTGCCGTGGAATTGCGTGATGGGCTGCATGTACGGGGGCGTGCGCGCGAGGCGCGCGTCAGTTACGATGTGTTGGCAGGTGTAGTCGCATTCGGAGGGACAGTCCCAGAAAAGTAGGCGGCGATGGATGGCTGTGGCTACTGGTAAGCTGGTTGATGCTCTTGCTAATTTGCTAATATCTACGGAGGATGGCGGGCGTACGAATTGAGGTGGGATTTTGGCCGCAATTGGCATCTTTGCAGACCTGGATGGTTGGTCAACATCTATAAGATTATAAGCCCATGCGGAGTTGCCGTACTTGCAAACAGTGTTTGAACTCGGGCAATCTGTCACCAAGAGAAGCCTGTGCAATTCCAACGATGAGCAAAAGAAATATCGCCAGCATTTGCCATGTCGGAGCTATGCTTGTTCTCATGGTTGCCGGCGTGGCACGGCTCTCGAGGCCATGTGTTTGTTGTTCATGTCCAGAGAACGTTGTCGCGTGGCTTGAATGATCGACAGGGTCTTGGCGGCTTGCTCCGACACACCCCTCCCTCCAGCCCCTGAGGCTCCAAAAAACAGGTTGCCGCAGAGGCAAAAAATATACGGCAAATGGCAAAAAGATCAAAAGTGGACGGGCGGGTGATCGAAACCCGGACCTTCCGCAGCTTCATCGCAAGGATGCAAAGCGGACGCTCTACCACTGAGCCACACGCCCATTACAACTCGTTGAGCTGAGATGAGAAATCTTGAGACTATTAACAATATATACTACTTAAATAATATTCTGCTGCTTGTGTCTGTAACGTACAGTCTACCAGGAAGTCCACCTTGACTACTGAGTACAAGGTGGGGTCATAGTTTGAATCAAAGCAAGGTTTTCGCCGCCGTTGCGTGCCGAAGAACGCCGAGAGTGCTCAGGGCGCCCGCGTCTACTCACACAACAACCACGACGTACACAGTATGCACTAGTGTATTTCACTTTCATCCAGTCATCATCAAAATACTGTCAACACTTTCAGTCACTTCCAAAAGATCTGTGTCTACTTATGCTTACTGGTCATACAAGCAAGTATATTATCGATGGGCTGGTGTTGTGTCTCTCCTCCTCGAATCTACCTACTTTCACTCTTTGTCTGCGGTCACTATGCATCGGAACATATGGAAGTTATCGGTACATACCTTCTCAAAGCTCTATCTACGTTTTAAGGACACCGCCAAGATGGAGAGCGTACTAGGTGCCGTATCTTCAAGAGCTCATGCATGTGCTACAAATTATCTTTGCATTCGTCTTCTACAGGATACTGCGCATAACCATAGGCTTACATTGGATGTAAAGTTATTAATCTCACGCTTTTTGACTTCGGCATCTAGGTTAAATTTTAACTAAGAAGAAGTTTGCAGCTCATCTAGAACCCATCTCACCCCATCCACAACAACATCCGGCTGAGTCAGCTGTACAAAATGTCCACTCTCGCGTGCAAACACAAGCTTACTCCTCGTAGAAAGCTTCAGATGTTCCTTCATGAGACCCTCGCTCTTCTCATCAGCCGTGCTGATCAACTCTCTCACATTACTCCTCTGCTCCTCGGTCCCATTCCCCTTCTCAACGCCCGCCTTATACATCCGACTCCAATCCCTACTCCGCATACCCCCTATCACGTAAACCGGTTTATCTCCAAGCAGAGGCTGCCGTTTACTCAACTCCTTGGCCCGCAACGTCTCAAAACTCGGTGCGTACGCGATATCCTCCTTGTCCGCGATTACGTTGTACTTCTCCGTCGATTCGTCACACATGAGCGCATCCCACTCCTCCTGCGTCAACTTATGCTCGGCTTTAATGCCCTTGCCAGCGTATGATTCAACACCCTCAGAGATAGCGACGAGATCCGGATCATTCACATTCAAGACTTGGGGCATGGTCTCGTGGTTGGCGTCGACGAGCACCACGCCAGCGATATGCGGGCCATTCCCCGTAAGGAAGATGAACTCGTTTATCAGCACGCCGGCCCAGGAGTGACCCACGAGGATTAGAGGGTTCGAAATGGGGGCTTTTTCGATCAGATAGGAGAGCTCCAGAGCAATGTTTTCGGCTGTGGGCGCGAGCGGCGATGGCTCCGAGTTGCGATAGCCGGAACGGTCGTATGTGTAGCTGCGCAGGGAGGGAGAGAGTTGCCGTGCTACGGCTGCCCAGCTGAGACTGCTGCTTGCCACGCCTGAGACGAAGAGCACAACGGGGTCCTTAGAGCTTCTAGGTTCTGGGCCGTGGGTATAGAGGGCCAGGGAGTGAGTACCGATGTTGACGAGAGTGGGGTTTGAAGAATGGTTGGAGGATGACATTGTGGGGTGCTGATCTTGTGAGTTGCCCAGGCTTATGGAGTTTTAAGGCTGATTGGGTAGAAATTGAATCCTGCACTATGCAGAACAGTTGCACCCTTTACTACCTGCCACAGGTGTGTGGCGTGGAGATGTGGTGGATTGGCATGAAGAGTAACACAACCCTAGAAGCTCATATATGTAGCTGGTAGCGCTGACGGCCGTAGTTTAGGCGAACCGCAATTGCAAGCGGAAGCCACATCATGTCGGAGGATTGCCTCATCAGATGACAGTGACCTACACTAAGAACCATTTTGATGAGTACCGCCCTTTTGCGGCTGCCATATACGGGGTCATAACCTGACACCACAACGTGGCTGACAAATATGAGCCTACCCGGGTGACAAGGCTCTCAAGACTTCGCAGCACTATTTTTATAATGTCAATAGCGCCGTAGTTACAAGTCTATAGCCTTGAGAGTGTAGTTCGCTTTCTATGCGCGCTAGAGGTGCGTTGTTGACTTTGTCTGCGGTCGGTGACTGGTGAGGTTGTAGTGGACTAGGTGTGGAGCGTAGGCTCTTTAGTTGTGTCCGCCGCGCTAAGCGGCACCACGCACCATGCAGTTGCACGGAGAGAGGGTTAGGATTAAACCCTAACTACTCTACCTAATCATCTGCAACGCCTCGCTTTTCATAACGCTTTTGATATCACATCCAAGTCATAGGCCCCGCTCTATTTAATTATGGTCAAGAGATAGGTAGGGCAAGTTGGTTCCTCAACAGGCAGAGAGCCTGTTGTACGAATCACAAAGACATAGCTATTAAGCTAAACTACCTCCTACTATCGACAATCGGAGCAGGAACATCGTCGCTCGGAACAATCGGTAGGCTATGTGGTCCATCCTCGCTCGACGAGTCTTCCAGATTTTGTGCCTTCCGTCGCCTTCGAAGTCTATCCTCGACAAAGCGGAAAATAGCCAACAGGAGACCAACAGCAAGGACTGCACAAGCAACGGCGAAGGCACGACGATAGCGAGGTCGATCATCATTGCGGAAGATCTGCGCACCGTAGATGCCGGCGATGTTGGCGCCCATAATAACCCTGCAGTGGTCAGCTACAAGTCATTAAATAAGTGTAACAACTTACAGAGCCATAGCAAGTGCTCGCTCTTCAGAGTCGGTACAAGTGAGCGACATCCACGTGATGTTGAGCGGATGAGAAAATGTACCAAACGTCTGCGTCCAGACAACACCAAAGTATTGTACACCACGGCTGTTGATCTCAGTGAAGATGCGGTTGAATATATAACCGAGCATGTGGCAGCTCAAGCCGGCTATGACGGTTTCACCACGTCGATTACTGAGATGAAGATTAGCAATGCAATAGTAAACTGAATCAGTAAGGCTTACTAGTGGTCGGAAACCCAACTGAAAGTAAATGACACCGGGATTTGGAGAAATAAACCAACTGCAGCCATGGCGTTTGCTCTGAGCTGGCCGAATCCAAATGATCTTACTATGGAAGGCGCGTAGGTATCAAAAGCCCGCTGCGGCCCGTTGTTGCATAATGTGATGGCAAAATGGCACCACATACGCCAGTTGGTAAACTAGAATGCAACGTCAGATAGGACCAACAATGGCATCTTGGGATGGTACCCACAGCTTTCTTGAAGGCAGTCAACCCAATCCTCTTCTTCTTCCTACTCTTAGCAGGTTCGTCGATATGGACACGACTGCGAAGGATGTAAATCTCCCTCTCGGTGAACATTTTCCACTTCGGCAAGAACGTCGGACAAGGCTTCTTGAACGAATCCGGCAGGCAGAAACCCAGCACGAAGCCACTGAGGATCGTAAAACCACCCATGAGGATGAAGAGCCAGAACCATCCCGCCTTGCCTCCTACTCCGCGCATGTGCAAGATGCCGTAGGCGAGCAATTTCGCAGAGGCCTGGCCGAACTGATTACCGAAGTAGAAGACCATTACCCGCTTGGCCGTCTCGGATCTCGTGTACCACGTGGACAGCGTCCAAAGACCTCCCGGGATGAAGCCAGACTCAGTGATACCGAGCAAGAAGCGCGTTGCGATGAACGATGCGTAATTCGTCTGGAAGGCTTGGAACGTGCTCACGGTGCCGAAGAGAAAGAGTTGGAGTGTGAGCCACTTGCCGGGTCCCACGCGGTAGAGCGCCATGTTGGCTGGGATCTCGAAGAGCACGATCCCGAGAGAGAGCATCTGCTGCCCGACGTTGAATTGGTCCTGGGTGATCCCAACATCTTCCATGAAGTCGTCCGTGATGGCGTTGGCGATGTTGCCGCGATCAAGTTGCAAGCAGAAGAAACCGAGCGTTAGAAGAGGCATGATGATTAGGTCAAGTCTGGGAAATGGGTATGTTGTAAGTGATTGTACTGGTGGGGAGGATGTATCACCACTACTCACTTGCGTTTGGCCTTTTTCTCTTCCTCCGATGTCCAGTCACATGCGGGAAGGCTCTCTCGCTCCCCGTTCTCGTCGTAGAATACATCTTTAGTGTCGGTCGCCATGTCGCTGGCTTTGGTATAGAACAAATGCAACTATATCAAACAACCGACCCCCCTGAGAATTCAGGGTAGATTCTTACGTAGCAGCCAGAATCGAACAGTGGCCAGCTTGTCTACTTATACCAACATCGTCCGCCGGGGCTCCGGTGATGCCATCGCACCAATTGCATTGGACATCGTAAGAAACACAGCTGGAGAGTATCGCCAAGTAGGACGAAACCATGGCAAAGTCTCGTTGAGCGTTGCTCGGCGGACTAGGCTTCTTGATTCTCTGCGCGAGACAGCTTGGCCGGCTCTATTGTGGCGACACAGAAGTCGCTCACCGAGCCACGGGTGCATGGGTAGCGGATTTCACCACTTCTCCTAAGGATTTGGAATCGAGAAGATGCAGTTGGTGCTCTTATGATTCTCTTGACTGTTCTCATGGGAATCTACTTATTTTGTGGTTGTGTTGTGACCGTCGATGTCAAGCTTTTGCCAATCTTGGGAGTTTCGCAAACCCGAAGGCCACGAGCTTAAAAAGAACACCGTTAGCTTATTAATGCTAGTCTTATGCTATTCGTAAGAATGTATCTGAATACCATCTACTGTATATTTTTTTTTGACGTTGTACGTTGTAACAATTGGGCTAAGAATATACCGAGACCCTATGTTCTCGGCGCGATGTTGACATCCGTTGCGCAGAGCACGTCATTTGCAGTAGACGACCACTCCACCGTCCCCACTTGACGACTAGAACGCAATCGGATTATCGCATTCACACAACAAAATGGTGATAAATAACTCCCGGTTCTCGCTAATCTGCGTGTTTCTGTGATATACGAGCTGAAATTAAAGAGTTTGTGTGAGTATTTACATCGCACTT